GGACCACAAAAATCTTGATCTCATTCAGATCATTTTGTATGTTTCAGAGATATGGCCTGCAGCGTGGCCGGCATTACTTCGGATGCCAATGTGCTCACCAACGAACTGCGGTTGATTGCACAAAGGTACTGATTTTCTCAGTTCGTGACAAGTCATCACAAATGTACTTGGAAACTAAGGTTTATGAGGTTTATGAGGTTACTGTGTTATCAATGTGTTTCAACATGCAAAGTGTGGGAATATATTCAAAATTGTGCAGGCTCTCCAGCACCTCCCGTGTTTAGGGTCCACCATTATTCAGAAATCCAGAGTACTGCCTCCCCCCAAAAAAACAAAAAACAAAAAAGGAACACCCAGATGGTTATTTGAAGGGGAATTGGGTTGGCTTCTCTGAATTTCATCTGGCCTTTAAAGGCAACTTTTTGGATTTTGTGTCACTCCTTTGCCAAGGCTTGATCCTTGTATGCTGTGCAACTGTCCAAATTTAGCTCATATTCTGATTGCAGCAGAACTGTCCATATTGCTAGAGAAAAAAAAGCAGAGATTGCAGTGGGAAAATGAAACGGAGCAGAGACTATCCTTATTTTGAAGAAAAAGCTTTAAAGCTTTATTTGATTCACTATAAAGCTTAATGGCAGGGCTGTTTCTATCCCCATTAAAAATAAGATTCTCTTTTGTTCCACGGCCTTATATTCAATCTAAGAGTTCTCCAGAAGGGTTTCTTTCTTAGTTACAGCTTCTTCATCCTTGGCATATGTTTGTATTTTCGTGTTTCAGATATCTGTTGCAGTATCAAGAGCCAATTCCTTGCGAGCAATTAGTAACAGCCCTGTGTGATATCAAACAAGCCTATACACAATTTGGAGGTAACTTTTGTAATTTGTCAGATGAAGTTAGGTGTGGAAGAAATGTCTGGCTCATGGAAGGAACACCTGTCATATCCTTATGGTGTGTTGATGGATGCTTTATTTGAATCTAGAAAGCTAACAAAGAATGACAGCTCCATTTCAGTCTGATGAAATTAAATCGCTCCAGGGAACAGATTTAATTTCCTTTAGGTCTGCCTCAAAAGTCTGCTTGGAAGTTTACAAAAACACACAGCTTATTTTTAGGTTTTGCTCTTTTTTTTTTAATGAAGAAGTTGACTCACAGATTTGGGTATTGTCAGTTTATAAATAAATAAACCACCTTCCTCCTCATCTGTACAGGTAGTTCTTGACTTATGGCCACAATTGAGCCCAAATTTTCTCTAAGACAGATGTTAAGTGAGCTTTGCCCCATTTTACGACCTTTCTTGCCACATTTAAGTGAATCACTGCAGCAGTTAAATAAGTAATACGGTTATTAAGTGAATCTGGCTACCCCTTTGACCACACAATCCCAGGACTCTGCAACCGTCATAAGTACATGCCAGTTGCCAAGCACCGAATTTTGATCACATGACCAAGGTTCGTTGTAATTTGGACCAGTCACTAAATGAACTGTCGTACGTCAAGGACTATCTGTAGTATAATTTTACACTTGGAAGGAACGTGTTACAATTTATCTCACAGAGCAGTAAATGCAGAGCAATTTGTTAAGTCTTCCTTCTTGGCAAGCACAATGTTTTTTCCCTTGGTATAAATCGCAGCGCTTAATTTAAATTATTCGTGTCCTTATGCTTAACAGGAAAACGTCCTTTTGGTGTTTCGCTGCTTTACATTGGCTGGGATAAACACTATGGTTTCCAGTTATATCAAAGTGATCCTAGTGGGAATTACGGTGGGTGGAAAGCCACCTGCATTGGAAACAACAGTGCGGTAAGTTTATTTATTTACCTGTGTATCTACCTATCAAATTTTGAAACTGCCCATTACCCCCCAAACAGATTTTTTTTTTAGCGCTTTGGGTGTTTATGTTTTCTCCTCCATGTTTGAAAGCTTGGAGAATTCTTGAAAAAGACATGCTGCAAGAATTAACACTGATCTTAGCAGGTAGAAAAAATAATCCTGTGGAAGGGGAAAACACTTATGTGTGCAAAAGGAGCCTTGGAAAGTATTCAGAGACTTTTAACTGGTGAAAAACACAGCAGCCAAGACTACCAGAGATTTGGAGATCTGTAGATCTGGATTGTTGGATTTGGGCAGGATTCAGGCATTTTCCAGTTAGGAATGAGAAGTCCATTAACTTTGGGTATGAAGCAAAGTCAATACTCTTTCATTGAGTATTGGGTAATTTCTAATGGAGTTTAATATTGCTGTGACTTACTCTATAGAATTCTTCGTTCTTTCTATAGTCTTGTGTTGGTTTTATTTTTAACTGATCCTTTTGGGGATCCTGGTGGATAATTAGGAGATTTATGGTCATTTTGATGAATGGAAGTATTGTAGTTTTGACTACCAGGCTTTGCTATTTTAATGTAATTTTAGGATTGTAAGTTGCCCAGAATCCCTTGGCTGAAATAGACAGTTTTAAAAATTGAATTAATGAACGAATGAATGAATGAATAAATGAGCAAGAATCAACTGCAGTGCTTTTCTGTTCTTTAACAGGCAGCTGTATCAATGCTAAAACAAGACTACAAAGAGGGAGAAATGACTTTGCAATCTGCACTTGCTTTAGCTGTTAAAGTCCTGAACAAAACTATGGACGTTAGTAAACTGTCAGCAGAGAAAGGTAAGCCTTGGATATGATTTGAGATCTTGGATATGAGTTTTGCTTTCCTTAAAGAGGTGCTATTCCAATTGTCAGAGTGCTGCTAGTTCCTGATTTGTTGTACTTACTTATTTAAAAGCTGTTGAATTTTAGGATTCTGTAGTTAAAACAGTCGTGTCACCCCAGTCTTTGGTAATTAGGAGTTTTGAATTACCTTGAGTTAGATTTTGAGATATTGATTGTATCTTTATAACTTCTTTTAATCAGCACTGCTGACTTTAGTAGGCAATTGAATTGTTTTATAAGAATAATAATAGTTTTAAGTAATATATTGCTCTGTAAAGCTCTTGAAATCTTCATGGTAGAAAAGTTTGCAATAAATCTGTTGGGCTATATCACCCCTCATAATGCCAAAAATAGTTTTCTGCAATATTCTGGGTGCTGTGAAAAATTGCTTTAAAAATGTTGATTAGAAAACTAGCACAAGAAATAAGTTTAATAAGTTCTCTGAGGCCCATTTGGTTGTTATATATTTTGATGCAGTCAGACCTAATTCAGACATTAAACTTCCTTCCTTCCTAATTTTCTTTTTCATCTCTTATGTTTCAGTTGAAATTGCAACCCTGACGCGAGAGAATGGAAAGACGATAATAAGAGTTTTGAAGCAAAAAGAAGTGGAAGTATTAATAAAGAAACACGAAGAAGAAGAAGCCAAAGCAGAGCGTGAAAAGAAAGAAAAAGAGCAGAAAGAAAAAGATAAATAGATTAAGTACCTCAAAGAAGGGACTGTTTCCATAAACTGGCCCAATTTTTGAAGGGCTGTTTATTGAATCCGTTCCTTTATATCACTGAAACACATCATCTCTTTCTTCAGTGAACAGAAATCTCTTTGTCATTGTATTTTTTCTTTTATATTACACAATAAAGTGAACAGTATTGTCACAGTACTAAGTATATCAAAGTATAGTTATTTCTTCCTCACCCTCCCTCGGCATTTCTTTTGGGACTGTCTTGCTGAAAAGATAGGTTGCTGCAGCATACCAGACCTTGCATTTTCACGTTTTGTTTTATCTCGCTATTGTACTAAACTTGGGGTACTGAGTGTAAATGAGGATGTATACTTAGAAATGTGCACGATGGCTTAAGGAGTTTTCCGTCATTGCTGGAATGTTTTTAATTACAGGGTTTGGGAGAGCTTGCTTACATGCAAAAAAAGAGGGGGAAAAGCCTTCGCGAAATAATACAATTTAGCACTTTGCCAACAGTTTTTCAAGGCCAGCTGCTGCACAATTGCAGCCGTGTCTGGATTGATAGCAAGACGGCGTCCTGGGAAAACAGTGCTTCACTGTTTATTAATTTTTCAACTGCTTTTGGCAGAGCATAGCTCAACACTATGCTGGTTAAAACTTTGGATTTTACCAGGGTGAAAAGTGGAAAAAAGGAAGCAAGGTACAGGGAATCCTGGACTTAACGACCATTTGCAACAACAACTTTTATTGCTAAGCGAAGTGACTTTTAAGTGAGTAATGTCCAGTTTCACAACTTTTTTTGCCATGGTCAGTAAACAGATTGCTACAGTTGCTAAGCACATGGTCATTAAGTGAATCTGTCCCCATTGACTGCTTATCCAAAGTTGGCTGGGAAGATTTCAAATGGCAATCACACAACTTCTGGAATGTTGCAACCGTGATGTGATTGTAGGGATGCTGTAAGGTCGTAAGTCCAAGGATGGAACCAGTCGTAAATTGCTTTTTTCAGTGCCACTGTTACTAATTGAGAAACATTTCTTGCATTCTACAAAAGGCATTGTCTTGCCTCCCCAAATAAAAAATATAAAATTTTTTCAACCCACCTAAAAGCCATCAGTAATCAGGGAGACGGTTTTATTTCTTTATTTAAAATATAGTTTTATTTATTTCATTTATTTGTGTCCCGCCTTTATCATTTTTGTGGATAACTGAGCTATTGTGTCCTAGCTTTCTTTGACACCCCTCACAACAACCCTGTGAGGTAGGCCGATGGGTTTGACAGCATGGAGCAAAGTTTTGAGTTCCCTCAAACTCGGCCCTTCCTACTTCAGGGCCGGCACCTTCGCCACTCCCACGGAGGGGAGCCTACAACTCCCATGAGCCCCTCAGCTGAGAACGGAGCTGCGAGGCTGCCGGGAGTCGTAGGCCAATCCCAGCTGTGGGGGGGAGTGGCCTCGCGGCTTTCCCGCCCTTTCTTAGCCATGGGGGTGGGTGGGCGGAGCTTCGGCAGCTAAGCGGCAACTCGGCGGGCTTTCCCGGCTGAGGCGCGTCTGAGGAGAAGCTGCGTCCCTTCGTCCGCCTCCAGCGGCCGCTTTCGCCGCGCGGGGCCATGGCCAGGGCTCCCCTCCTGCTGCTCCTCCTCTCCGCCGGCCACGGAGCCTCCGGCGCCCGTTTTCTGGGTAACCGCGGAAACACGCGTCAAGCCCGCGCTCGTGGGAATGCCCCGGGACGCGCGTCACGCGCCTGGCCCGCTGAGTCCAAGAAGAGCGCGCGAGGAAGGCAGTTATCGGGGAGGGGGGTGGGGATCCACCCATCCAACCTGAGAAACCCGGGGTCCCCCCAGTCCTAATAAATAGGAATTAACTGTCACGGAGGCTGAGAGTG